TGGGTGTTGGACCCCTACGTTTCCACCCTGAAGGGCGTAGAATACATTGGCTGTGAAGACGAGCTTTGTGACCTTCAAGCTGAGTCCGTGTCCAAAAGATATTTCCAGGAAAACGGATTAAAAAAGTTCTGGATTGCCAAAGGACACGCTGTCGCTCCCACGTTGGCCAAACACGCAACAACCAGGGTTATTCTCCCATTTAGCACTACATACCTGTCTGAAGCAGCTTTCAGCGCGCTATTAACAATAAAAACTAAAGTCAGAAACAGACTTGAGTGTGACAACTAAGTAAGTAGCTAAATAACTTTCAACTTTAATACAAAAAGCTTGATCGGGACATCCCTACTGTATTTCTACATAATAAGAGGATTTCTATAACCATAAAATAGTTATTGAGGGGTGAATTGATTCAGACGGAGCCCTACTGAAGGCCTAGGTGTGAAATGCACGGTCCGCCACTGATACGTCAGCACGTCCACCATCTTGGATGTGGCAGAAATGCCCGTCGGTAAAAGAAAACGGTAAAAGAACTCCATAAAGCGCCTTTCTACAACAAGCTTTAATATAATGCATCTTATTCACACATTCACACACACTAATATATCTGGGAGGCTGAAAATGTATGTAACTTTTAAAGTGATGATTATAAATGTTTACTCCCGATGTTTAAGATATAATTAAGGACCAAACCTAGCATATGTACTTTTCTAATGCTGAGTGTTATCAGCTACTAATGCGTGTTACACTGTTACTTTAATATTGAAATATTGAAATTGAACATGTAATCTGGGTCCATAATAACCAGATCCTGAAAAGTAGATGTGAGTTGAGGGTTTTCTGAATAAAGAGCACAAACATTTACATTTAACTGTCGTACATACTTATCCATACATACATATGTAACGAAGTGACCTGGTTTCGTCACAAGGTGGCACTGTGGCACAGTTCGTGGCAACACAGTCAGCCATGGTTCTGGGAGTTACGCCGGGTAGGACGCCATCTATGTTTTGTGTTTTAGCTTGCTTTCCCCTGAAATGTAAGTTTTACATAGGGCTGGGCGATATGAGTAAAAGTTATATTTCGCCCCCCCCCCAAATGTTCGATTTTGATTTTATATCATGATATGAACCAAAAAACCTTTTTTGTATTTTTTATTTTATTTTCTGGAATATTACAAATGTAATAAACATAATGCATAACTGTGCACGGGGGTGGGTGGCATTGTCTTAAATGCTTAAACAAATTGCTGATTTAGTTGCTACGTTTCTTCTGCATAGTTTGCACAGTGTATCACTCCGTTGTTCGTCCGACTTCAAATACCCAAAGTACCTCCTAGCAGCCAAACTTCTCAGGCCCTTCTTTTCAACGATGTTGTCCTTCTCCTGGGCAGTATTTTCACTTGTTACCTGTTCAGAACTCCCGTCAACAGAGTTCTCGCTCATTTTTAAAGTCTTAGAAGTATTGTAATAGTTGACATTCTGCCACCTTCTGTTTTGCTAACGCAGTTTTTACCCAGAACGCTGTTCCACTGTTCCGCTTTCTCTCTCAATAAAATAGCTGTTTTATCCAGCATGAAACTTCAACATGGTGACCCCTGCACTAATATCAAATGCAAACGAAAGCTTATGAATAAAAGAAAAAACAGTCACAGTAAAAACGTGCCTGGACATATTACGGCAATACAAGTCTGTGGTGCAACAATGCAGCGTTTTACCGAAACACAGGTGCATGCAACAAACTCCCACGATCCATCTCGCCGATCCCAGCAGCAGGGGAGGCAAGCCAAAAATGAAGCAGCCAG